CTCCACCACCGTCTGCACTCCTCTTCCACCTTCCCAAGCTGAAACTCCGGCTCCAGGAGATGTGGGCTTTAGACGCCTCCCAGCCCTGGGGCACCCACCGTTTCGCATCCTGTCTGGGTGGCTTCGGTGACTCCCGGGCCCACTGTCCTTTCCTGCTCCCAGCCGAGTGCCAGCCTGGCTGGACCTGCTTAGTGTCCAAGACGAGGTGCACCTCACACTACGGTGTGCGGCCGTGGCCTCGTCCTCTCCCTGAGTGACGTCACTGAGTGCATGTCCTCGGGGTTCATCTACACGGGGGCCTGAGTCAGGATTTCCTTCCTTTTCTGGTTGAATCACACCCCACCGCGTGTCCTCTGCATTTTGTGTCTCCATGCATCTGTCCGAGGTGGTTGCTTGGCTTCCTTCCATCTCGGGCAGCCGTGAGTACGCTGAATATGTCAAGTGGCAGATGTCTCTCTTTGAGACTCTGCCTTCCACCCTTTTGAGTTTGTTCCCAGAAGTGGAATTGCTGATTCTTGGGGTGATTCTGTTTAACTTTTTGAGGAATTGTGCACCACTTCTCACAGGGACTGTACTTTTTCCAGTCGTCGATGGACCCAATACCTTTATTTTATTTATTTATTTTTATGTGGTGCTGAGGATGGAACCCAGGGCCTCACGCGTGCTAGGTGAGCGCTCCATCACGGAGCCCCGGGGGATGGACCATTTTACAATCAAACAAAAACAACTTTCCCTCTACCCTTGGATATTCAGTGCCTGGGGGCCTGGGAATTAAACTAACAAAAGCTGAGCAGGAGAAAAGACAGACAGACATTAACTGTGTGTGCACGAAAACTTCACAGAAAACATGAAAAAGCCCAAAGATGTGGCGAGATCCGGGGACTTATATACCAGTTTAACAACGGGTGATAAATTGTGAAGGGAGTGTGTGGAGGAAGGAGGTGGTCACAGAGGTTTAAGTCCCCATAGCCAAAGCGCCTCTCCATGGTGGCCTGGGGATGGATGAGTGGTGGCCTGGGACTCCCTTGCAGAGTGTTCTTCTTGGTCTGTGAAAGTCCTTGAGCTGTTTGCTTCTCTCCAGACGGTGCTGGGAATGACCAAGCCTGGCCATAGCACAGGACATCCTGGGGGTCCTGCTTGGGATTTGCCAGCTTGACACCCTCCTGTTTCCGGGGCCTCTGCATTTTCAACCACTGCCCTGTTTCCATCTGTCTTCATGC